CAAATCAATTCTTCCCTTCCCCCCTCTTTCTGTCTGCCATCATTATCGACCCTCCCCCTCAACAAAAAAGGGCACTAAGAAAGGACAAGTCTAGGAGGTCCAAATCGCGGATCAGAATCAAAGCAAAGGCGAGAAGAGCGAAAAAAAGGGCACTGTTCGAGGACACCTACTCCAGCAACCACCCCCCCCAAAGTCACCATTGACACACTTTCCCACCCCCAGTCCTTGAAGCGGGTGGGAGAAAAAATTCCACGCCATTCCTTTTTCTCTCCGGGTCTTGGACGCGCCGCTTGGATGGCCCATCCGTGGCTTTAGCCTCTCTCTCTCTCTCTCTCTCACTCACTCTCTCACTCTCTCTGTGTCTCTCGTTCTCTCGCTCGCTGCTCTTGCACTCCCTCCCTCGATCCACTCTCACTCACTCTCTTCCCTCTTCACTCCCGATCTCCCTTCCTCTTACCTACTCCCTTTCACTCATCCACCGTCTCATTCCTTCTGAACTCCGCTTTTGACCTTTCTCTCATCTTAATTATCTTCTTCATACTAACTCTTCTCTCCCCTTTTGTCTTATCCTCATCTCCCCCCCTCGACTATTACTAAACGACGATCACCTTTACCGGGACCTCCTCACCACCTCGCCTCCATCTCTCAACTGTCTGTTCCAATTCTCGCCTCTTCTCCATGCGATTCGTGATCCGTCCGCCCTTCCATAGTCGTCGACTCTCAATCATCGATACCCTTTCGCGTTCATACGGTCGCACGCGCCACCGACAATCACGACATCACTAACGCTTTCTTCGACACCCTTTCCCTTCGAATCTCGATCCGAGGCCTTCTTTCCAATTACCTTCCCTCCTTTAGCGCCGAAATTGTCTACCGTCGCTTGCAGCCGAGTCCTGCTTTGTGGGTCGTTGTTCGCGCTACTGTTGAGTCGGGACATCGTGGACAGGTTCCTCTGCGCCCAAGTGGTTTCACCTTAGAGTGGTCCTTCTGCTGCTGCTTAGAGTTGTGTGTGTATAGCTGAGGCCAGGAGAGCAGTCCGTGTTGTTGATATGCGTGTTGGTCTGTGATACAATACCACTACGAGTCGTTCGTCTACCCGAACAACCACCACCGCGTGTCTCTTGTTCAATCTGAGAGGGGGTATTCTGTCGGATTATGACAGATACCTCCCCACTCGCCATCACGCACCCCATCACGGACCCTTATCCGGTCACCGTCCCGCTGCACTCACCCGGCGTCAACGGCACCGTTTCCGACTCCATCGCCCCGGAAGAGGAGGAGCCGTATACCATCAAATGCATCTGCGCTTTTGAGGATGACGATGGGAACACGGTTTTCTGTGAAGGGTGCGAAACTTGGCAGCATATAGAGTGCTATTACCATGGTCGAGATGTGCCCGACGTGCATAACTGTGTCGATTGCGAGCCGCGTCATCTGGATGGGCGGCGTGCAACCGAACGGCAGAGACGTCTTAGGGAACAGAATGACGGCGGTGACCGGAAAACCAAACGATCTGGAAACAAGAGCCACAAGAAAAAGATTAAAGAACATGGTGATCAGGTAAATGGATTCCACCATCGGTCGGAATCCGCGGTGCGCGATCAGCCCGTTGCAAAGAAAGTCAAGACAAATCATCGTGCTTCGGGGTCAATTAGCTCTGTCTCGGGTGCTCCGGGTTTTCCACCTGATCCACGGAAACGGGCTGCAGCGTCCATGAGCCCCATAAAGACGGCTGGTCCAGCCATCCCCCTCTATTCGCACGAGTTCTTGCACCTCTATGATCATGATAACGATTATGCGAGTATGGACAGCAACTTGTTTGTCAACCTTCCCTTGGCCGCAGATCTGGCTTCCTGGGTAACGGAACCAACCGCTTTGGCCCGAGTTGCCAACGGGCGGTCCGCGCAGGATATCTTTACTTGGTCCGGGGCATCGCTTGACCGGTCGCGGTGGCCCACACTGTCAACTGAGTCTATCACAGAACCTAGTATTGAACTGGAGGGGCAACACCCGACCTGGAAAGTGCTCAAGACCAAAGATCGTGTAGGAAAGGACGAAATCGTTGGGGAAATCACAGGTAAGATTGGTCTGCTGCGGGATTACTGTCTTGATCCCAGTAATCGCTGGCAGGAGCTCCGTCATCCGGAGCCTTTCGTCTTCTTTCATCCGCAGCTCCCGATCTATATCGACAGTCGCCATGAAGGAAGTGTTCTCCGCTACGTGCGGCGGTCTTGCCGTCCGAATGTGACGATGAAGACCTACATTACGAACCAGGTAGAATATCACTTCTGCTTTGTTGCAAAAGAAGATATTGCCCCTGATGCCGAGATTACTGCCATGTGGTATCTGGATCCTCAGCTGTTCGAATCAAGCAATGGTTTAGTCAAGCAAGAACCCAGTGATAATGCCCAAGACAATGCTGCCATCTGCATTAGCAATGTTCTCGCCCATTTTGGCGGCTGCGCTTGCGTTCCATCCTCGAACTGCTTGCTGGCCAGCGTAGATCGCCGGCGACACCCCAGATTATTGGAAGCCAACATGAAACAGGCAGGCCTCAAACGGAAGAGACCTAGGACAAAACCAATCATTTCCCCCACCGCTAACAGTCGCGCTGGGAGTGAAACGACCAAGGCTATAGATGAGGATGATCAAGCCGACAGTCGCTCTGCGTCAGGCTCTGTGCGCGGACAGACTCGCAGTCGCGATCTGACTCCCACGCTACAGACTCCGACCGAAAACTACTTGCTGGGAGACTCCGAGCTCTCTGCCCGCGAGAAGCGGAAAATCGCGGCAGCCGAGAAGAAGTTTCAGCAATTAGAGCAGGATCAGCAAGCAACCAACAAAAGGAAAAAGCGAGCTAGTGGTCAGTCAACTCATGGTCGCGAGCATCAATCGCACTCCCCACCGGCTGGTACTCTGCCTGGGCCGTTGCCTAGTGGACGTCATGGTTCTCCACGCAAGATGTCCAACAGCCATAGCATGTCTTCTGTCCAATCTCCACTCGGGCGCCCTCAATACGTGGACTCGGCAATTCAAACCGAGCCTGAAGCTCCTTTCGACGGGTTCTCTTCTTCGCCTTCGCCTCGACGACCTAACTTCGTACCATTAACTCAACGTTTGTTGAAACGATGCTATTCCGATCGTCTGCGCTTCGAAAAAAGCAGCCAATCTATGTCACCTCCAGTAAAACCAGTCAGACATCTGGACTCGCCCCCTGCATCTCTGAGCCCCCCTGGGGGTCTCTCACTTACAGCGTCGACCCCTAGTGCGTCAGGCGATAAAGACGATGCGGATATGAAGGACATGGATTCGCCTATTCTTTCATCGCCCTCGCAAGCTTATCCCGCACCGCTCGAGGCCTCGTCAACAGACCGAGGCATGGTCAAGCCTCCTTTACCACCTCCCTGGCCGTCAACAGCCGCTCACAATGCTCGAATACCGTTGAAAACAGTCAGCCAACGTCGTCCCGAACTTCATGTCCCTCTTCCTCCCACGTCCATCACCTCTAAAGCATCTGCCCCAAGCCCTGGGTCTGCACCTGTGTTGGCGTCAATATCTCCTTCGGGAGATGCACCTCCCCAACCTACATTGCCTGCCCTTGCTTCGTCGAGTGTGGTTGCTCCCAGCCCCGTAAAAAAGAAGCTCAGCCTGGGAGACTACATTATTCGACGTGGAACCAAGACAACGCCGTCGGTAGAGAAAACTCAGCTCCAGGCCACAGGGATGCTTCCACCAACCCCAGCCATGTCAGGACCCGTGGTTCGTGATAAGCCGGCGGTCACTTCTAGTATGCCCATGCATAGCAATCCACCGGGGGAAATTGAAGCAACCAAGGGTGATGATCGACGCTCCCAAGATATGATGAAAGATTATCCTGGGCCTGCACCTGCCTCTCACTTATCTTCACTGACGCAATGATGATTGGGCATTGGCATTGGATGACAGGCCTGTCACTTGTCTGAGTCACTGTGCTGTGCTATGCAACCATGTTTTTTGCTGATTTTATGTCTATTTTCTTTCGACCTGTAAAGGATGGGATTATTGGGCGTTCTATGGGTGCCCTTCTGTTTTCTAACTGGCGTATCAGGCGTGTTGGGATGGGAGCGGGATAGGTAAATACTTTTGGGACTGGGATGGTCAAAGGGTATCATGGATGGGTTCAGGCCGGCCTACACTATTAGGTCAATGATCTGCAGCACTCGCTTCACGATTGTCTTCATTACTATTTTTTTTTCTCTTTTTGTTCTTTTCTTTTTCATTTCTTTTTCTTCACTCTTCTCATCTTTTTTTTTCTCCTCTTTTATTATTAGGAATTTTTGTGCCCAGGACATTGGGACTGACGACTCTTAATCGGGGTTGCTAATGAGGAATGAGAGCGTCTTTGATTGCTTTCACATGTTGTTGCTATTGTAGTTATCAGTACGAGATACGCTTGGTCAGTTCCTGAGGGTCTCGGGGTGGGTGCTGCCTTTGCCTTGCTCCAGCACATCGCCTCTTTTCCCTGCTAGTCGACTCCTGAGCATCCACCTGTCAACCACTTCATTATTATTGAAGCCAGGCAACAGGCAACCAACCAACCAGCCAACCAGCCAACGAGGCGGATAATACTAATTCCATCCTCTTACAGTTACGTCTAGACTATCCTGCAAAAACCTTTTCCGCCTGGACACCCCGTCCTTGGCCAGACTGTTGAGGCATGACCCGCTTATCATGGACACGAGGAGAAAAGGAGTTGATGACGTCTGTCGGCTGCTAAGAATGATAACTGAGGATGGATCCGATCTCGTGAGAAATCGTGCAAGGACTATGGGTGCTGTCTATGGCGAAGCTAACAGTGTACGCATGTATACAAAGCTGAGATCGCAGAGATTGTACGGGGTTCGTTCCATGCCAGCCTCCCCACGGCCGCTCTCAAAGTGCTGAATTGGTCGGCCTACACTTTCAGAAAACCATACTGTGCAGTACCTAGTAATCCAGAAATTGGGCTCCAGACAGTCTCAGCGAACCACAGGCTCGCAAGCTCCACCGACCATGACCGAGGTTGCCTGATGCAATGGGATGACATCAAGAGACGGATTCAGATGATGACGCGGGCCGAATCGAGGCTTATCGGAAGACACAGAGACAAGAATAGAGGGCAACAGCCATCACAAGCAGATCTATATAAACAGGGATGTGATCTCTGGAGATTGATCGTTCGAATGCGATAGACAAAACCCCAGCTACCGATATATCCACCATGGTCGTCAACATCACCGCCGAAGATCCCCAGCCCACCATCCACAGCCACATCAATGGCACCACCAACGAGATCCTCGATCGGCTCTGCGTGACCGAGCTTCTCAAAGGCTGGCCGGTATACCGAGACGCCTCCGAATGGGCCCATTACCGTAACTGCTTCGCCGAGCAGGCGTACATCTTCACAAGTCCGTTCCACCCCCTTCCATTCCATTTCCTTTCCGGTCCGGTCCAGCAAACCTAATCTCTCTTGGGTCTGTAGCCTGGAGCGGCGGTATGCCCATCGATGAATTCATCGAAGTCTCCAAGAAGGGCCGGCGCAATGGGGACCACATCATGCACCGCGAGAACGGCACCCTCGTCGAGCTCAACCCGGCGACCGGCCGCGCCGTGGGCAAGATGAAGGCCACCATCACCCAGCGCTTCGACTTCAACGGGGTGGAGTGTGACGTCGAATGCGACTGTCGCTTTATCATGTGGTGCCAGAAGGATCCGGCGGGCTGGAAGGTGCACTACAAGCGTCTGTTTTACGAGAAGGACAAGATCCTGCCCGTCGACGGCAAGAATGTCCCCGAGTTTTCGGCGGAGGAATTGGCGCCGTACCCTTATGGGTATCGGTATCTGGGCGCGGCGCAGGCCCGGCTGGGCCATAAGATCAAGCTGGACTTGCCGACGATGGAGGATAATGAGAAGTTCCGCGGCATGTACGAGGCCATGGAGAAGTGGCTGAGAGGGGAGGACATCAAGGAGACGTTGGGGATTCCGCTGTGATTGCTGCGATTGATTGTGATGGAGGAGATTTTTTATAGGGTGTGGATGGTTTGGCTCTTGTGTGTGGTGATTTAGGCGCATTTCCTTTCAATGGATGTTGGGTCTCTTTGCTTGATTGCAGCCAACTTGCATGGATTAATAATGAGTCACGAGTCTTGTATATGAAGTTTGTTGTTGCAGATCATCATTGATAGCATTGCGGGGTATATTCCTCTGCTTTCCTTTCCTTCCCTCACTGCCTTGTCATTTACCCCAGCTTCGCTCCATCCTGACTTCCATGGCTTCACACACACTGGATAATGTTCAATCCCGATCACATCGAAGATCTTCTATCGATCGGATTCGACCGAGGGCTTCGATGGAACTTGAACAACCGTTGCTGCCACCGGTCGACCAAGGCAGAGGAGCATGGCTGATCCTAGCATCCTGCTGTCTTATCCAACTTCCAGTGTGGGGTACGCTTCGTTCTCGATTGGGAAGAAGCTGTTTACTGAGCTCTCTGCTGCAGGGTTCTCCCTTGTCTCCGGTCTTTTCCAAGAATATTTCGAGACTCACGATGAACTTGAAGGAGGCACTGGAGGTTTGGCGATTGTGGGAACCACATCGATGGTAGGAGGATACCCCTCAGCATCACCCATGGTACTCACTGATGAATATGTCGCGTAGGGAATTCTTTACCTGTTATCGCCTATCAGTTTTACCCTTCTGACCCGCTACCCTCATATGCAGAGATACTGTGCTCCGGTTGGACTGGTTCTCAGCGTCGGAGGGTCGTTACTGTCATCCTTCGCCCATACTGTCTGGCAATTGATAGCCACTCAAGGCGTCCTCTGTGGACTGGGGAACGGTCTCGTCTTCAGCCCAACAACGCTCCTTCTCGACCAGTGGTTCATTCGTCGCAAGGGCCTTGCATATGGCATCATGTGGGCCGGCAAAAGCGTCTGCGGCGTGGCTTTGCCCTTCTTGACAAGCGCTGCACTGGATCGATACGGAGCGAGAACCACCTTACGAGCCTGGACAGTTATCACGGTGGGGAGAACACCAACCATGCTAATTCTGAGGCCCTAGTCTGACCTAACATGATACAGCTTCTCACGACTTTGATAGCACTTCCCTTCATCAAGGCCCGAGTTCCTCCCGCGGCGTCCACGTCGCCTCAGTCTCTCAACCTCGCGTTCCTAAAGTTGCTCACGTTCTGGACACTGGAGCTCGGAAACATCATCCAGAGTCTTGGATACTTTCTCCCGAGTACCTACCTCCCATCTTACTCGACAACGGCAGCCGGGCTATCTGAAACGACCGGAACCCTCCTTCTGGCTCTGTTCAATGCCACCTCCATCGTTGGAGGCATCGTTCTAGGCTCCATGTGCGACCGCTTCGCCGTCTCCAACATCATGCTGCTATCGTCGATGGGCTCGGGGCTATCGGTGTTGTTATTCTGGGGACTTTCTTCCACTGCCACAAACCACCTGACTTCTTCCTCCGAGCATCTGCAGGCTCATACAGCGCTCGCCCTGTTGACGGTTTTCTCGATCACTTACGGCTTCTTTGCCGGAGGGTTCAGTTCCACCTGGTCCGGAGTCCTGATGCAGATTAAGCGGGAGATGCCCTCGTTGGAGACGGGGCTAGTCTTTGGGCTTTTGGCCGGGGGTAGGGGGATTGGGAGTGTGATCAGCGGGCCGCTCAGTGAGAAGTTGATACAGAGAGGTCCTGTTGCTGGTGTTCATGGTGGAGTGAGCACGGGGTATGCGACTGATTACGGAGCAGTGATCTTGTTTACAGGAGTCACTGCTCTGTTGGGAGGTTGGAGCTGGTTTTGGAGCTGGATGAGGAAACTCGGGGGTGATATGCAGTCTTGAGTACTTTAGTTTATGTGTTGGAAATGAAACTGTACCTACCCAGAGTCTGAGTAACTCACTCATACTTCACAAAGTGAGAGACAGCAGTGGGCCTGCCAGTTGGCCAGGCCCCAACCAACTTCCGGGGATAAAATCACGTGCTCCGCGCGCGCATCGAGAAAGTCGCTCTCAACTGAAGCTTCCTTCAACCTCCAAGCTGCGCTGTAACACCTCCCCTTTCCCTCTTCTCCTCCTTTACCGTTATAATTCCCCAAGCACCCCGAGCGGTGACAATCTCCCTCAACCCTGACTCGGAACTCTGGTCTTCGCTCCAATATTGCGGTGAATTCCAGCTAACCTCGCCCACCCTCTTGACCTCAATAACTACACACCACTACACACCACACCACAAATCACACTCCCCGGAAGGACCATTGGGAGACCGACACCCACGATGGCCACCAATTCATCATTCAGCATAGATCCCCTTCTCGCCCTCCGCCAATCCCTCCTCTCCAACAACCCCCCACGACCGACAACTTCCTCCTCCCCGACCGACCCACCCACCGACACCGAAACCGACCTCGATCTCGCCAAAGCCACCCACCTGTACTTCCCGCATACCCCGAGCAGCAGCAGCAGCAGCCCCCAGATCATCCCCCTCAACACCCCGACGCGCTTCGTCTCCAGCACGACAGGCGAGGCCGTCGACCTGCGCAGTATCTTCTTCGCGTGGCTGAAGAAGGACGTTGCGATCCCGGAGTATATCGCCGAAGCGGAGGGGCTGAACCAGGCCCTCAAGGAGAAGCGGAAGGATGATCCCGAGCAGCCTGAAGAAAAGGTCCAGAATCTGGTGTTCGTCGAGCGACTCGATCTCCTGACGTGGCTGGAGGGCGCGTCCGAGGAGAGTGAGTACATCAAGCCTCTCGAAGGCGAGGCCGCTGCCAAGGCGGCCGCGGCCGCGGCAATGGCTGCTGCTACAGCTGCTGCTGCCGCTGCGGGCGTGGAGAGTAGCGTTGGTGCGCAGGCTCAGGCGTCGGCCAATATTGCTTCGGGGGCGGCCGGGGGTGTTGCTACGGTGCCGAGTGGGAGCGGTGCTGGTGCGACGGGAGGGGCTGCTGCGGCTGCGGCGTCTGGGGGTGCTCAGCAGCACGGTAGTCGGGCGGCCAAGGTGATTGATCCGAGGTTACAGGAGATTTACAATGGGGAGAGGAAGATGGGGGATCGGAATAGTGTGTTGAGGGGGATTAAGCCGACGGTGAGTTTCAATCCCTCTGAAGGTCCCCTGTGGGTGGGTTTACGTATAAGATGCTAATCATTCTTGGGGGTTCAGGACTTTTCCCATGTGCGCAAAACTGCAGAAACCATCTTGGGTCGGAACCGGTCGTCACGAACGGGTCAATATCCCGCGGGTGTCACCAAGCCTGGCAGCAAGCCGACCTCCTCCTCCTCTTCTTCTATGGTGCCGGTGCCCGCGCCGTCCGCCGGTCTCTCGCAACCCCGAAGCAGCAAGAGCAGCTCCAAGACGCAGGATCCGATCATCCTGCTGTCGCCTTCCGCATCGTCTCTTATCCGCATGTCCAATGTGCGCTCATTCCTCGAGGAGGGCGTCTTCATTCCGCCCGATCACCCCACGCTGGCAACGGGGACGAACAGCAACATCCTCTATATCAATCGACCCCTGCGCATCCAAGGCAGCTCCTCTAATACCCCTCTCCCTCACTCCAGGTCCAGCGCGTCCTCCTCCGGCTCTCGCAAGCCCACTCGCTTCATCCTGGTGGACAGCACCGCCAACTTCCGGCCGGATTACTGGAACCGCCTGGTGGCCGTCTTCACCACGGGTCAAACCTGGCAGTTCAAATCTTACAAGTGGTCTTCTCCGCCCGAGCTGTTCAAACACGCCACGGGTGTCTATGTGGGCTGGCGCGGGGAGGACAGTCCGCGCGAGGTCCGCAATTGGGGTCGTGGGGTCCAGAGCTTCTCGGTCGAGAGATGGGACGAGAAGGGCGGGGTGAACGGGTCCGGGCGGTGGAGAGATCGCGAGGTCGTCGAGGGCATTTGGTCGGCAATTGAGGAAGGCATGCGACTGAGAGGCTGGGCGGGCAAGTAAACCTGAAGTGGCCCGTTGTATCTTTCTGGATATGCTTGGGGGAGGGGCGGTTGTTCTGTCAGTGAACATTATCTTCACTCGATCTTCTTCAGGGGGGTTCTCTCGATTGTGGGATGTGCTGGTGTGGGGTGGGCAGTTGCGCCGATGGATCGGTGGACCGATGGACTGATGAACAGGCGCGAAGAATGATATCTTGAAACCAAGGACGTTTCACCCTGTTCCTCTTGACTCGTTTTGGAGGAGTTGTCTGATGATGTCTCGGGTTGAAGGAGATCCTCCAACCCTGTGAGTTCAGTCCAGTCACTGACTCGAGTCATGAGTCAAGTCTCCAGCCATCTCTTCATCTATACAAGCCGTCCATCCAGCCACCTGTCACACACAAACACACATCACCACCACCACCCTCACCGAGAGAACTCCATCTGAAACAAATCCACCCAACCTACTCGCCCTCCACTCTCCTTCAACATCCAAATTTCTTGGATGATGTGTATACATACACCCGTATTCTTCCCTCCCCCCTTTTCTCATCTGCCAGCTCTGACACTATTTCTATTCTTGGGATTATGCTACGAAGAGCGTAATGGTAATATCTACTTTTTGGGCTTGGGGCGTTTCTTGTTGTTTTCTGGCTCGCGACCCCAACTTCCTGGTTTCCTGTAGTCAGTCTCCTGGACATTGACTGTGCTGTTACTGTACCCTTCACCCTACCTTACCTATTTACATATCAGCATGAATAGAAACTCAGGGATTCTATGATATCCCACGCTGCCCGGTGGCACTAGACATCTATCCGACCCCAGATCCCAGCATGGAGCACACAAGTTTGTCCCCGCCCAGATCATGATATCTGAAGGGTTTCTGTCGAGTACGGCGAGTACAATCCCCGATTCTCGATCATCGAATTTGAATTTGCAAAGTCAAGGGGGTCTGTCTCTCTCATACATACTCCCACCCTCTGATCTCAGACCATTCCTCCCAAATCCACCAAGGGTATGGGTATACCATACCCCCTTGAGCTCTGCGGCAGAAGTCAGTACACATCACGCTCCGTGACACTTCTCACGCAACAAACACCTCGCCATGGGTCTCTCCCCCCGCCTGTCAAGGGAAGACACACTTAGTTTTAGTTATCCCTCAGCACAGCAGAGCAGCAGCGTAAGCGAGCATAACACGGGATGGGATAGCTGACTAAGCAGGCGCCTCGCCTCTTGCACAAAGGTGACGATTCCCCCCCCTCCAACCTCTGATCAACTAAAATGGTTGACTCATGTCCGTGTCCCAGCACCAGTATACAATGTCGGTAAGGTAGCACCATCTCCCCTCAAAGAAAACCAAATATCATCATCGTCGCGGAGGGTCATGTGAAGGCGCAGAAAGAGGGTACAACCACAACCATAACCGAACCAAAACAAAGTACTGTACTAATATTCAAAGAGGTGAATCGGTCACGCCCCCCTGTGCGTCCCCCTGCCCCGTGCGGTCACACCCCCCTCCCCTCCCCCTGCACCCTCGTGCAGAGGAAAACCACGTGCAGGCCATGTGGCATGTGGTGTTTGTTGCTTTTATTCATGGATGTATGTACGGTACTTGGTTTTCTTCCAACGTCCTTCTTTTCCCTCCCATCGCCATCGCCTTATTCCTTTATCCTACATGGATGTCGGTTCCGCGTTAGAGGGAAATGGGTGTGCTACCGTTGGTTCTTACTGTTGGTTCTTCTTTACTTTGATGAGGGTGGTTGTTTATAACGGTTGGTGATGCTCACGAATGATTTCATCTGAGGGTGATTCTTGAATTATTATGGGTTCATATCGAGGAGCGCAAGGTGAACTACAAGAAAAATCAAGAATAAATAGTAATGAATTGTTATTCAATAGAAGTCTTGGGTCTCAGGCCCAGACTTGAATCAGAACATGGCACACATGTACATACACACACATAACTCACTCGCTGGATATGGCGCAGAAAACAAAAAGTTAACCCATGAAAATGCAGATCAGATATGCTATCGATGATGCAGGCAAAAAATAGGTCAAGTCAAACTCAACTGCACAATTATCAAAGTAAAGGGAAAAGGACATATGGCGGCATACACACACATAAATCAATAAGTCAGTCAATCAATCAGATTTATCACCAAGTAGAAGAAGAAGTGTGCACGAAAATGCATCGATGCCTGAGAAAAGAAGAAATATGGGGGTAAAAAACGCCTCTCTAATGCTGGAATGCTGGAATACTAGCGGTGTGTTTCAGCCTTCCCTTCTTCAAGTCCGACAGAAAAAAAAAAAAAAAACATAAAAAGGGGTAAAGGAAACAAAGACAAAGGAAATTTGATTAAGAGAACAGAAATTCGGGTCCCAGCATCTATCACATGATCCATTGATCGTTAAAACATCTTTTTCCACTCATCGGTCGTGATGAACGAATCATTTCGGGTGATCTGGTTGCCAAAGAAGAACTCTCCACGTCCATTCTGAATTGGACACAGGCTTTCATGCAGTGAAGTAAAGAAAAGTCGGAGACGCATAACGTGTAATCATGTCGTGTCAAGTCAAATGTTCGGAAGCAGACCCCAAGTACAACAGGAGTCACTTTTGCTGGTCGGTCAACGTCGCGCTAGACCGCGCCGACTCAGGATTCATAAGGTCTGGCGGTGTCTCGGAGCACACTAGACTCCAAGGTCTCGGTGGATTCCTCGCTTGGAGATATTCCAATACAAGCTGGTGTTGATCCCAATGATGAGGTAGTGATTAGTGTAGCCCCACGTTGGTCCATTTTCAAGGTTCGACTCATGGGCGCGCCGAGCGGCTTGCCGAACGCTCCGGTACCGGAGCCGGAGTTGGAGAGTAAGACCGCGGGGCACCAATCAAGTCCACATCGTGCTCCTGAAGGATACTAGCACACTTGGGATCGCGAAGGAACTTGGGAACCGAGTCCTACGAAATGTTAGAATTGATTGGTGAAGAATAAGTATTGTTTCCGGTGTGAACTTACACTTGACATCAACTTGAAAACCGACGTTTGAGCCATTTCGAACAAATGTACCACCTCTTGAAGACTCTTGAGCATGGACTCGTCGTCACCCACAGCCTTGGTCATGCGGCTGGCAAGGCTGTTGCGCAGGGCGTGATCAATGTTCAGCTCACAGGGCGAGCCAGGGGCCAAGAACGCGTTGTACAGACCTGCACAGATTAGTATCATCAATCAATCAAGACCTGTCTCCGAGAAATAGCTTACCGTATGCCGCAGCCAAAGTCTCCCGTACCGAGTCCGGCCTCCGGAATGTGCCGACCTTCTCCGCCTTGTGGTAAGCCGACGTAAACTCGGACACGTCGAGGTAGAAAGACAGGTTTTCTTCGCAGAGTGAAAAGCGCAGGAATTCGCGGAAAAGGAGTCGTAGAGCTGGATCGTGTAGAATGTGGTTCAACCGGGCGTTGTTCGAGTCTCGTGGGATACCCCGACTGTCGTACATCGAAGTGTCACGAGCCTTGTCCCGTGCAATCCAGCCACATACCCTCTGACCCCGTTCGGTGATTCCATAGATGGCATTCTTGGAAGGTTGAAAAGTGGCTATCGAGTCGTCGGGCAGAGTGATGAACTGGTCTTCTTGCAGCATCATGATTAAACCGTACTTGACGAAAAGCTCGGCAATGAGGACGGTTTCCCGACGCTCAATTGTCGTCGAACAATCCATCAACCAGTCGACCGCCGCCTTTCCTGTAAAAGTGTTGGAAACAATCTTGTCCTTGATCTTGCGCTCCTTGGCCATCTTCACGCCCACCAATCCGTTCGAATAGTCACTCAATGAATCGGAATCGGAGGTCGAAATGCTGCTCTTGACATTAGGGCCATCCTGCCCAGCGAACCGGCGGAAAATCACTTCGATGGTCGCTCGATCGTGGGACAGCTTGTCGGTCTCGGAATCGCGCTCCAGGTTGACAAGTTGCATTGTGTTGCGCGGCGATTCCAGAACATCGATCACATGGCGCGCAGTGATACCATTGCGCTGACAGAATCTCTGGAGAATGTTGATGCCCTTGGGTGTGAGCTGGTACAATGCGCCCTTGAGAGGGAACAACTGCGATGCCTTTCCGTCTACGGACTCAATGAAGCGAGCGTCCACGAAGCGCTGACATACTGAGCGAGCCATTTCCTTTGCCATGGAGAATGTGGTGGTTGTGGTGGTAGTGACGATACGGGAGGGGTCCTTGGGGTCTGGCATGCGGTTGGATTGGGAAAATTTGAGCGATCCCAGGTTGTTGATGGCCTCTTCTGAAGTAAACGAGTGATCATATTTGGTGAATCGTACACGATGCGAATCCAACTTCAAACTGACCATCAGGGTCGAGAACAAGTCCATGAAATCCTGCAAACATTGCCGGTTAATCTCTTGGTCAATTGCTTGAACGCTCTGTCAACCACTTAGCGCGCATTCTGCAAGAAAGCTTACCTTGGTGAACGGACGATCATCCTCCGTCATACGCAACAGTCTCGAAGATGTCTGATGCATTTTGGCGGGAGGTTCGGGAGTTTCAATCTCCGGTAATTGCTGGAGGGGGGAAGGGATACGCTGGATAGTGTGACGTCGTCTATCGACGGAAGTCGTCGCCTGATCAGTCACAGCGGGGAAAACGCGGTTGGTGACGGAATCAATGGGCGCAGGGCTGGATTGTTCGCTGCTAGCACTGCTATCCGACAATGGCGGGGTCAACGGTGTAGCACCAGGCAGTTCACTGATGCTGACCTGCGAAGCCTTGCGCGAGTGCTTGGAAAGACTTCCAGAAGATGCAGAAGGCCTAAGCGGATAGTTGGGGCTTCCGATGGCAGATAAATTGGCGAGAGCACTGGAAGTCTTCTCTCGAGCCAACGCAGCAAATGAGCGACGATTGCGACGAGAAATTGATCCGATTACCGAGCCAGTGAAACCTGTTGAGAAGGGGTTGGTGACGGAAGACGAGGCAGCGGCGGAGGAAGTTGTGCTGGTGGTTGTGGTGGCGGAATGGGAATGGGCGGGAACTGCGGCGGGCGCGGAGTTCTGAAGAGCAGCAGCAGAAGCAGCAGAAGTAAAGGAGGAAGTGCGATTGTGATCCGGGGAGGAGGGAACCGGAATAGGTACGGCAGAAGATCGGGAAGGCTGAGGGTAATGAAGGTGTGAGGAAGGAGGAGGAGAGCCTTGGTTGAAAGGGACGGAGGATATGGTTGGCATTGAATAGTGCGAACCAGGCGAGTGGGAGGAGAAGAAGAGGGGGAGGGGGTTGTATGTATCTATGTAAGGTTGGAGCAGGAGAGAAAAAAAAATCAGGAAAAAAAATTAACAAAAAAAAAAAAAGAATGGAAAAAAAGAATGGAAAAGGAAAGGGAGGAAAAAAAGAGGGTCAAGGGCAAAAAGAAGGGGGGAGGGTGGGAGAGAAGAAGTGTGTGTGTGTGTGAGTGAGGAAAGAAAAGGTGGAGGGGTGTGGGTGTGGCTTCTCTTCTGAATAAGGAAGAGAAAACAGAATATTATTATTTTCTCCAAGGAGATTTTTTTTAAATAAAATTCATGAAACAAAAATGCCAAATCTTCGAAAGATAAATTTCAAGATCTTTTCTTTTTTCTTTTTTCTGATCTTTTCGATTCTTTTAGGAAATCAATGGCTTGGCTTTTAGGCAGGTATCAGTACCAGCAGTCAAAACATTACTCACTTTTCAAAGTGGGAAAGGAGTACAAGGAAAAAAGTGAATGTCACTGATAGATCCCTTACAGTTCAAAGAGAGAGGAGGAGGAGAAGAAGAAGAAGAAGAAGAGTAAAGAAGTGAGCAGAGAAAACAGGGAAGAAGAAGGGTAAAAGAGTAAAAGTGAGAGTAAGCGTAGTTAGTAGGAAGTAGTAAGAAGTTAGTAACTGCTAAGGTAAGTAGTTAACTACAGTACGTACTTTAGTTAGTAGTTAGTAGTTGTAACCTTAGCAGTGCAGCAACAGCAGCAGAAGAATAGCGAGATGGCGCACGCAAGAGAAGAATGGGCAAGAAGGACCCCAGGCCCAGGGGTGTGAAGAATCAGGCCTGTCAGTCTTTGACCCACTGTGCACGCGGACGGTTTCATGCACCAGACAACGTGGGCCAAGGGCAAAGGTGGATGGATCGTCCTTTGGGGCGATCAGAAAGTGAGCCAGCCAGTCCACCTCCTCCGCCGCCCTTCCCTGCAGAGTCCGTCGTCCTGAACCCGTCCAGTACCAGTCTTTCACATACCTTACCTACCCGCTGTGACGGCAGTCGCCGGAAAAAGCAATACCACCGATTGCTTACTGCTGTGGTATTTTTTATGCTTCATTACAGATACAGCTAGCAATGGAACAATTAGATGGCAAAGAGACTGCGCAGGGTTTGTTAACCCGGTTCCCATTCCTCATTGTCACTCCAAATGGTGGTGGTGATGGCACTGCTGCAAGGAGGATCCTTGAATGCTTCCCCTCCCCTCGGGGCCATGAGAGACAGTCAATCGGAGTCGGAGTCCTCCGTCCGTATGATGGCCAGCCCGTGGATGACCCTCTCCCAGCAATTAAGTTACCAGTCACGTACCATACAGTTCGAATACCCGCTACCCGCCTTTCGACCTTCAGCTCAAGCGCTGGGAAGCAACGTCGGATGATCATCGGTTTCACATAGATATCCCCAGTTTCTGAGAGTCCCAGGCATGTACACTAATTCTGGGGACAATTGGCTTCAGATCGATCAGTGGGTGTCAACGAGGATATGCATGCACATATACTGGTGTAGATACTAATAGATGCAAGATTCATCCTACTTGCTGGCGCCCTACCGATCGTCATCAAACTTCCGTGGTATCTCTTATCATATGACGAGGAGTCTCGATGAGATCAATCTCCCGGGCCTCGCCTGGAAGATTTCCTAACTCAACCTAGAACGGGAGCTGTCTTCTTTGCGTTGCAGCCTGAGAACAGGCTGATATGTTTCCCTCCATCATACACTTCGGGTGATGTACCTATCCACAAACTGTATCACAACTACTGCGCGAAGATGGTTGATGTAGATGCATCATCAGCCGGGGGGGGGCTTCAACTCCGTTTGCCTTCCCTTTCGGGTGGTTCTGAAGGATTACTCTCTGGGTAGGTACAGTACTGCCCTGTACAGGCATTACAGCAGAATCCAGTATCGATCGTCATTTCTTGAGTCATTAGCTTCGAGCCGGGAAATCCCCCAGGCGATAGCAGCCATTCAGAGCGGCTCGTCACGAATACTCGCAGTAGAACTCTTGCCCACTATAGACTAGTGTGCCACTAGGACCGAACAGTACGTTGCTAGAAGCCACTGACTGCACCTGCTGCTGTTGCTGCTAAGAATGAATAATGAGTGAGAATTACATACCCTACCACTTACAGACAGAATACTCATGCGTATATACGGAGTACCTTGTCGGTATTTCCCCACCCCCAAACCAGACCACGACCCATCCAGCTACTCGGCTTGGCATGATTTTGGGCCATGGACAAATTACCAAGATAGGTAGAATGTTCTTGCCGTCGTTGCAGTGCCTTTTGGGGGTGGTTGAATTTGGGCTGACCTCCTCCTTCCGTCCGCGCCTCCACCCTCTAGGCTTCTTATCTCTACTCTTTCCCTCCTCCCTTTATATTGGGTCCAATGACTTTGTTATGATCCTCGTGGATGATGATCCATTGACGTTTATTTATCCTGTTGACAGCGCTATTAGAGCTGTAGGGGCACCTCACAGAACTGTTGGTCCTCTGCTTCGTAAGATGCTCTTCCATTCCCACGTGGGTATCCGCTCAAGCCCAAACCTTGTTGTCTTGAACAGGACCAAGCGAACCAAGCACTTTCCCTGATGCCGATCAATACTTGTGTGTTGAGTGGAGCCTCAGGCCAACAATTCCTTATCTGGGGGGATGTAATCCATCACCATGTACAGTACGCGGGCTAAAGTTCTGTGGCTCCTCCTCACTATTTGATGTGCTGCATGTGAGAAGTGTATCTCGAGGCGACAAAGCGTGATCGGACGGAATCGATTTCACGCCGAATCTGCCTCAATGATAATCTGTGTTTCTGTGGTCAGCCAGATCAAATCAAAAGGAAACGAGCAACAGACAGTGGAGAAGGGTTTCTTCCCGTGTGGCTGTGTCCGGCCAGCTGGCTCGACGCTCGTATTCTCGATCCCGCCAGGATTTCTGGGATTATCTAACATCGAATGATGATGCTCCTCGTTGCCTATGATGATTTGATGGCTGTCTCCCGCTCTTCCATGACTCTTCCAAGAGTCTTCTTCTTCTTTGGTGTCCTAGCCGAGACCCATGTTGGTTCCACGTGGACACACGTGGAGAAGAGCTGGCGGCTGGGTTGGGTTTAGTGTGTGTTGCTCAGACGGGCTTGGCTGTTGTCGCCCGTTGATTGGTCTCTTCGTGAAGCTGAATTGCGATTAATAAACAACGGGCATTCAACTTACAATACTTGATCATCGATGCTCTGAATCCTCAATTCTCAGGCAATTGCCGTGATCGTCCTCTTACAATCATTGGCGTAGCCCTTTCTGTCAACCGGGCGCCCGTTCAGATTGCTTTTACGGAGTACATACTTACTATCCACCCGTATTACATACAGGCATCCAGCCGGTCCGCAGAAGCTCACCTTAGCGCCGCGACTCCAGTGTCGTACGTTCTTGTTCCCCATCGCATTTGTCGACGGGAGTACGTACAGCTAGTTAACTTAACTTATGACATACATATCAAGGATCGTCCCCTTGTTATATATCACATACTGTTATCAAAGGTTCATTCTTCCGATCCACTACCCGGCCCATACTATCACACACAGCACGCTTGTCAATGGAACTGTTGGGAAACGCACTCTTTCCCTCCAGCATAACCGGGGTCCTGAGTCCTACTAAGAAGCCACTAAGGAGAGTTGATCCAATCGTGGTGCATTCTCTCTGTCGTAGTCTCGTCTATTCTAACCACCAGGCTGGAATACCTCAAACCGTCCGGCCGGGGGCGCAAATCTCACCCCAGCTCGGACGAACTCGGCACGCAGCCTTGGGCCAAGTCCATACGAGCTGAAACCACAGACTAAATCCTGCTGTTCCTTTCCAATACATGAGGCTCATTTGGGGAAGGCTAATGCGACGGAGCTATATCGAGCTGGAAGGTCTGATCGCAGCAGGATCGCATCTGACAGAAGCCCCCGGCCGGCTAGCTACAGGTAAGTCAGCAGCCTCTTCTCCTCAACAGCAATGTGAACTGCCCTGTCATGAGTCAATTAGGCAGTAACGATGACCCCATACCACACCGACTCCGATAAATGATGTGATTTCGAACCAGAAAACCGGACTATGTAATGTATGTGGTTGCCTTCTACGTAACGTTTATGCGACTGTGGACACCCGATCCATTTACAGGACACAATTCAGAAACATCATCCGGGGAGCACAGGCATAGAATTGGACTGACTACCTATAATGTACTGTGTACATATCACCAAGGTCGGATCATCTATCGTATCTTGTGACCTATTCTAGGTCTTGAGGTTCCTCTCCACATTTCCTCTTAATTTCCCTCTCCCTCACGAAGCGGTGAGCCATGAGCGAGGGCCTTTAGAATGGCGTAATCGCCTCGTTACTGCTTTGGGAAGAGAAGACACAAAAGATGGACTGGGTCCAAAACTGGGGCGGGTTTTTCTCTCTAGTTTCTAGGACAAATTGTGGATCAACAGAACCCGACTGGAAAGTGCGGTAAGGGCGCTTTCTGGGCCGCAACTGCTTTTTCATTCTAGCGTTGAAACTTGCGTACCCACCAGCACCCCACCACGCCCTTTCCTGTCGCTGTTACATAATCACTTTGTCCCTACGAAGTGTATGTAAGTTGCTATGTATAATAATGTATCAAGGAGGTAGGAGACGAGGATTCATCAGATTTTCTGGTCGACTGGCTCTTTCGCCCATCAACGATGCAGCTAATCCCCAATTCTACCGGTGTAGGCGGAGCGGAGGAGCATGGAAAGGGATTCATCCGAACCACGTCAGCTCGTCGGGTCTCGATGACAAGAGGGAGAAGAAGACAGCAAGGAAGGAGGATCGATTGCTTCTTCTTCTCTTTCTTCTACTCTCGCCGGCATGGACGATCATGGTCCTTCCTCCTGCATGAGTGACAGCGGGCAAGGCGAGCCCCAGCCCGTAAGCAGGTTCCGGCGGTAGGCATAGTATGCGTGGTTCCGGTTCCGCTTGCCTTAAGTTACTGCGCATACGCACCTCAGCTATAGCATTATTCTAGAAGGCATATAGAGACAGACGGAACGGATGGAACCACCACCTGTTATATGGAGTACGGAGTACTACATTTCTTGCAAGTTGCATTTGCCCGACGGCCCCATATCAACTCCTTCTCCACCATCATTACCACAAGCCGTCTCCATAAGAATGATCCCTGACCGCCACGCGAGAGACAAGAAAAAAAAAGGAAGGACGGGAAGACCAAAAGAAAAAAAAAAAACTTTGGAGGGGAACCTGACAGGGATGATGACACTCGCTGCAGTTACCCTCCTACTATTGGCAAGGCTGAGTCTAGAATCAATCATGGATGGGTGGCGCGCGTTCCCGGGTGGTTGGGAGAGGAAGGAAAAGAGACCTCCGGCTCCAGGCTCAGGCTTGTTTCAGTTGGTTCTAAAGTGGTTCTAGCGGGGATCTTGGCTGGCTTCTATGCTCCGTCGTGCGTGCAGGTATGGATGTCACGGGGTTGGGCTGGGTTTTGTCTGTTTCTTTGTTTGATTCGAATAGATGATATGTACGTGGCGTTGGGGTTTGTGGGATTGCCCGAAGTAAAAAAAGTAAAAAATTGCTGGAAACCTGTTGTTGCTATGAGTAGGTACTTGTAACTTGCAAGACCCTCTCTTGTCTCTCATGCCTCTTGAACTTATCTCTCAATTGCTGTCCGTCTTGTTTCTAACCTTTCTTAGTTTCAAGGCAGCCAATAACCATCAGGGCCCGGGGGCCAAGGACCCAAGAGTCAGTTAGGTTTGCCATGTGGCTGGCATTTGAGTCAAAATCGGAGAACGATGATTAAATCAATTAAAACGTAGAAAATAAAAACAAGAGCTCCGGGGTTATACGCCGCGGCCAGTCAGAATTAGGAATGGGGGTGTAGCTTTGGAAAATAGTGTTTGAAGTTAGGTTTGTAAGGGATCTGTGCGTATCTCTCTCCCGTCTCTATCCTTGACACGACTCTTTCTACTTTCGCTTCTAGCTCTTCGACACTAGACAGGGGAGGAAGAAGGAGGCAAAGCAAAGGCAAAAGGGGAGAGTTCTAGAGGATCCCGCCCAGCCAAAGTGCAAACCATCCTGTCGCCAGGATGGTAACCGAGTGCTTGGCTCTTGGCCGTCAGTCTGTCAAACAACTGGTAGCTAGCGGGTTGGTTGACAGGTCAGATTTGCCACATGGCTAGGTACAGTAAGAAGTAAAAAAGATAAACAAACTGCACACAAGGATTGGTGATTGGTCACCCCTTTTCTCCCTTGCTTGACGTGTCTTCGTTCTATGCTTCATGCTCATTCTGTGCGACAGACAGAAACATACGGATGCGGTAGTCATGCTGTCTCTTTTTCTCCCCACCATAGGTATCGATTTTGAACCCGCCTTCATGGGATATTCCAACTGACATTGAAACCTGCAGAGAACGCAGGGTCAAATCGTGTGATGATCCTCATCTCCCCTGCAACTCTCCCCTGACTTCTAGCTCTCTGGCCCTGTAGCCCTTTCCTTGGCCCATGGGAGATATGATACCGATCGACCGGCTTGACTTCCCAGGGTAGAGGGGTTTTTGGCTTTTTTACCTTTTTAGCTTCAAGTCCCCCGGGCCTACGTCTCCTCCTTAAGACAGTTAGACTAAATCCCGCGACAGGCGCCGAGCTGTTAATGCAATGCGACTTCCCGAGAGCCCCCCCCCCCCTTCCTCCCCAGTAGCCGGGCATGAATCCCGGCAGTTGGTTCAGGCTAGGGCTAACTGTATTTACCTAGTGCTAATACGTACTACCGGTAGGGTAGGACAGGAGGACAGGGATTATTGATTGAAGAGTCTAAGCCTCAACTGATTACTCAGGCCCGTCAAGGTGCTTGACCCCATGTCTCTGGTTTTGGTTTTGGCTAGCTGTGTATATAGGACTCAGCTTTTGATTTTGAGGAATTATTGTTGAAGCTGGTAGGCTAGACATGTAGAAGACATGCCTTTCTTGGAGTCAGTAGGTTTGGGGGGGTGTCAGGCTCTCGGTAGACCGTAGCTAACAACGGACCAGATTTAGACTTTCTGCTCTAGCGGGTGCTTGCAGTTTGTTGATTACTTTTCCTAGTCTGCTTCTTTTCGTACTGGAGGGTGATCAAGGATCGACAGGACTACGACACGGGCCTTGAGGGTAGAAGACGACTGGGTCACTGGGAGGGGAATATAGCATCCCTGCCAATGGGTGGAGTATGTGCTAGACTTGTAGTCCCAGGTAGGTGGTTGCAGAAGATGTTAGTTGGTATGGAGCAGATAGGGAAGCTAGTCGGCTGCGATAGTGCCATACTGCATTCTATGTATGATCAAATTGCGACGGCGGTAGTTGCGCTGTCAATCGCATGGGAAAATGTGGGACCTGCTTAAATCAATGCTCTACCGAATACCTTAAAAGAGAGATGTTGTATGTCAATCGGAGCTGAACTCGGTTACAGTCTGGCACCAACAAGGAAATTGAATGATGTCCGTACCTGATTTCGAATCCGTGGAACGGTGAAGGAGGTGACACCAACATCCTAATCGAGCAGGACTACCAAACCCTAGGCTCCTCAGCTGCAAATGATATCGCCGTTATACTCAGTATTCATCTCACTTCGGCTCAGATTACCCAGATATCGAAGCAGATGGATACAGCCTAAATACATCCGAGCTGGAGCGAAACGATCCACTTTTTCTTTTCTTTGTGCACTAAACTAGTTGCCCGCAGAAAACCAACAGAGGTTCTAAGACCCCAAAGAGAGCGGTCAAAAATCAGAGTCGATAATCGTCCATTCGCCCCAACACCAACGCCGCACGGGGCAAAAGACTGAGAACGGAAAAAGAGAAGCGGTCAAGGAAAAATCTGGATTGGGCGGGGTGGGGGAGAGAGCGTAGTGGATCCCCAGACTTTGCTCTCTGGACCTTGGCAGTTAGTGGGGGTGGTTAAACTCTGTCGGGATTAGCTTTGATGAACAGTTGTTTTTGGTGAGATGGAAAAGGTATCCACTCGATTTCTTTCTTTCCTTCTTTTTTTTTTCTTTTTCTTTTACCGACAATCATATCGCGGGATATGGTAGGTGGAGTGTCGAGGCTCAAATCTCTACCAGACAAAAAAAAAAGATGACAGAAAAAAAAAATTGGATGATGCGGGTGCCACGTGGTGGGCAGGTTGAAGAATGACGAAAAAATAAATGCAAACTCATACGAGTAGTACGACTGTGTGTGAGTTGTTGTTATGTCATAGATTACAAATGTCTTGGCTCTGGTGGAAATGTTTTCCTCCATACACTGATGGAGGGCCTAGATGGGGGTGTGTTTTCCTTTTACTTCATGGTCCGCCGTGTAGAGGACGACGACGCCGAAAGATAAGGTACGCACCACGCAGGCTACGGCAATGGCAATAACTTACTCGCCCCTTGATTGGAATGCCGAGGTACAATCTACTTTTTCGCTGGGAGGTAGAGTCCAACTCCGGTACTACCCAGATCTACGGAGTGTTTGAGGGAGCCAAATCCGTACCTCTGAGATCTGGGTGGGAAAGCGAACGGGCGCGAGGCGGAAAAACCCGCCTTCGGGCCAGTGATGATCCTATATTAGACTTTGGCCGGGTTACTGCCGGCCAGCCCGTATTTGATATCAACTGGCGAAACATGGCGGTTGAAGCCCACCCCCTATGGAACAGACTCAAAATTGTAAACATGCGACGGCTCTACCACCAACCTGACGGGGCTGTACTGAACACAGGGGTACTTAGTAGTCCCTTCACATGAACTGAACCAACAGAGTCAAGAGGATGCACGGTCCCAATTGGACGACATCGAATGGTTTGCCAGTTCTTGCTTTTTTTGTTTCGGGAACAAGGCCCCGAAGGATTGGGATTGAGCCAAGTTCCTAGAATAGATACCAATCCCTGCTCGTTCGCGAACTATATCGGACGGAGGGTATGAGAGATTGGGCGATGCTAGTTCCAACAGCTTCAAATCCTAATCCAACCACCTCACCTGACAACATACATCGACTTCATGAAGTGACTCCGTGGTCTCACTATCGCGAGACATCGGGTCCAGAGGCAGACGATAGCTCGCAACACTCCCTCCAATCAATCTTGTAGGCAAGGAGAATGCCTTTAATTTATTTACGATGTGTAGATCGAAAGTACAGACTTACAGTTATTACGCAGCTAACCGCCCAATTCATTATAGTGCAGACACAAACCTGTGTGGACTTGACCCAAACTCAATCCAATTTCACTTCGATCGACGAAGCATTTTCCACCCCGTCTCATCCGTCAACAACGTGTCCTTTCCCAATCCAGGCAAAGCTCCATGAAACACACACACCGGTCCCAGAGAAAAATCGTCCGATTTGTATTCCATCGGCCCCATCCAGAGTTCCAGACAGAAAGGAAGGAAAGGGGTGGGAAGGGGGGGGCGACGGGAAACAGAAAAAGAAGAGCGAGAATAAAAAAAGGGCGAAGATCGGACCAGGTGGCGGCCGATCGCGTAGAAACCGAATGGAAGAATCATGGAATCCTTGGGTTGGGAAAAGCCATCCCTTTGGGGGGTGTGATACAGGCGCCATGATATCATAGATTGGAGACTAGCTTGACTCCGTATCCATGGTTGAGCAAAATGAGTTAATATACATTGGCTGATGGAGAACCAGAAATCAAGTATCAGGTGATGTCAGGTCTTCCAAATGGGGGTCAGCACTAGAAGCATTCTAGAAGGCTTCTGGAATACGCTAGAAGGGATTTTCTCTTCCTCCGGTGGATTCTTTTGCGCCCCGCCCCTTACTCCCCCCCTCTCTCCTTTTGACCCACACAAATCCATACTCTTTCATCCTGGCGTGTGGGGGTCTGTCTCATTGTTCTTGTTAGGGAAGGTTCGGCTCTGATTGTGTGATGTGTACGTGTGGCCCGATGGTTCATTTCGGACAGTCCGGAAGTACATTCCACACGTAGGTAGGTACAGTACAGTATGCCCATGTATGTGTGGGATGGAGACCTGTGAAACCCTCGCTTGATCTCCTCTTGTTCACTGACGGGCTTTCCTTGTTCGGTCGAGTCCGGCTGACCAGAGTTGGTTTTCAGGTACGGACGGGAGAGTTTACCCAAGTGACAGTTCTAACGGCGGCCCCGAGCATCAACGGCGGTCCCGAAGGTTTGCGAGGCATGGCAAGCTAGGAGGATCCTCCTCACATTTAGGAATGTCGCTTAAGCAAGGGGACAAAGTCTAATCAATTGTGTGGAGGACTTGGCGCCTGCTCGTTTCCAGCGACTAGATTTCTCCTCCGCTTTTGGCGCTTACGTCGTCTACAGGTTAATTGATTAGCGCACTTTTCTGAGGTATGGAGGGGTTGTGACCTGTCTGTTTGTTAGCGTTGAGAGGTTTCTGGAGTTGGGATTGTTTGATGTCACTGGACGATGGCACAGATCCGTTGGCATGTCACAATTACATTGTCCTAGGATGCAAGCCACCCAAAACGGGTGTCGCTTCCATCTCGGGACTATTGTTATCATTGACGACGTCTCCATACTGCACAAGAACCTGCATTCAAAATCGAGAAAGGGGTCACATATCGACTAGTTCCTTTGTCCACAGAATTGTGCACATAACGAGGAACGTGAAGGCGGAGACATCTGCTTCTTCTCGACTCGACTACTCCGTACTGACTCTGCCGGTCGTAATAAGTTGCTATATGGTCGTTTGGACAGATCGCACAATCTCGAAAGACAGATGCATTTCGGGCCTAGTTGCGGGGCTACAGCCTAGACATTAAAGCCTATCCTGAGAGATCTCCAACCGTAGGCGGCTTCTGCTATATAGATGTCAATAGCATCTCCTAGCAAGCCTCACGCCTGTAGTCACTTCTGCACATTTTCCTAGTACCCCTCGTTCTAAGTTTTGATAGATAGGATACACAGGCGTGGGAAGGCAGGCTTACGCTTAAGCTTCTATAGCGCGGAGTCCGAGGCATACGGACCACATAACATAGAGATTTATCATACTTAGCTACGAGCTAGTCGTCTCTAGCACATCGATTGATAGACAAGTAACTTAATAGTGCATAAGAAGCTCTTTATGGTGCTCTGAATATGCAGCTACTCGTGAAATAAAGTGCAAGATAAAGTTTGCTGGAGCAAGTGCTGGTGACTAGCGAGAGGGTCCCGGCGGCGCGACGATCAGATTGAGTCTATGACATGACTCATGAGATTCGACCTTCTTCAGAACCCATGTCATGTCAAGAAACTAGGTCTCTTCCCTTACTGGGGCATTGCAAACCTAGCAGCCCGTATAAAGAGAGTTTTCCTCGGAAAAGACACTCGACTCATTGTGTACTCCGTGGGAAATAGTGGAACCGAGGTTTACAGGAACCAGACTACATGTCTTCCCAACTCGAGCATAGCTAAAACCAAGCTTGATGAACCGTATACTCACAACTATCTCAGGTACTAGATCCCGCCGGATTCCAACCACATTACGCGAGATGTACATACATATCAGTATCTATCGATATCCCAGCCGACCTCTCGATCTTCTGCTGTGCTGAGTCAGCAGTTCTTTGGCAGAACCCCCGGCCCTCAATCATCATGACTAAAGCCAATTAACGTAATCGGTAAGCGAGTCGGCCATGTAAGCCAGTCGGCCACCTGTGTATTGTATATACAAAGCTGATTTTAATCTTTGAATAGTTCAACAATCTTAGAATATATACTTTAGAAAGTCTGTAATATATAATCTAAGAACTTAGTTAATATAATAAATCAGTTTATTTTCTTCTAAAATCTATTATTTACCAGTGGTAACTCTTTGATAGAGTGTAATTTCTGTAAATGATATAAATAGTGTATATTAAAGCTAATAAGGATAATTAAAATTTTTTATTCTGTGCATAAGAAGATTATATATATATAACTTT